TCTTGAATTTTTGTTGACTATTTCTTAACTTAAATGCAGAACCCAATGCTGCCAATACATTTCATTTCTGTTGTTATGGTGATCTGTTATTTTAATTTGCCAAATTTTTCTTTGAACCCTGACTTTGTCATCCTCAATAATAGCTATTCCTCCATGCATTAATAATAGCAAAAATTATAATTACAGCACACAGTTTTGAGAGAATCAAAGGATTGGGCCCAATGGGTTGACAGTGGAGACCTCTAGTCAGCTGACTATGCTCCATCAATCAACACGTTTTAAGTATTAACTTGATGAGCTATTCATCCCCATAATTATTATACAATCTGTGTTTCTTTAACTTCTGTACAAGTTCATGAGATATTTTTTATTTCTTGTTTGAAATTAAAATTATCTCACTGCCACTCCATAAATAGCTAAGCCTATATTCTGCGGATGGAACATGTTCTCTGAATACAACAAATTTAGGCTCAATGGTCTCACACGTTTTTATTGAGTCGTTATCCTTCATTCAACTTACTTTTATCAAATACACAAATGACTTCTTTCCTGTTGTCTAGAATTAATTTTGGAGTTACCTGCAGTGTGTTATTGTCAGTTCGTGCTCACTCATCAGGAGACTACTGGAACATCTCTTCCCAGTTCCATGGTCAATGACTCATTGACAGGTTAAATCATCCTGGTAGGAAAGTTTACTCTATGACCACCAGCAAATGGTATAGCTCGTGGGTTGTTGGGACTATTAAAAAAAACTTGTTGTTGAAATTTTTTATGAAAATAAGATAGTCCTAAAGGTCTGCTAAGGTTCCCCGCTTTTGGCAATTCACCGCTGTCATTACATGTGTGCCACATGCATCTTACATGACCTAGAGAACTCCAAGACATTCAAGTCACAAGTGGGGAAAAAGAATTGAAGTATAAAGAACACCAAAGAGCCAGAGGCCCCATTTGGGAACCAACATGTCACCAGTGTGGTTTCCAGACAATAATGGACATAGGATAATGTGTATGATGGGAAGAGCAAAGTCCTGAGAACCAAACCTTGTGTGGCACCTGCTTTGAAAGAGCAGGGCCTGGAGCCTCTGTAGAAAGGAAAGAACTCCTGAGCCAGGGAGAACCAGCCTAAAGCCCCCAGTTCCTGACCATAAGCTTAGGCAGAGCACAAGACAGCCCTGGGTGATTCAGACTACAATGATCTCCAGAGGTGTGCAGGAACCATCTAATACAGCAAGCAATTAAAGAATCAGTGTAATTCCAGCCTAGAGATCATATTTGTCTGCAATATCCCAACATGTAATTGGATTTAACTATGTTTTATACATTTTGGAATCCATTTTCTTTTTTCTCTACTGTAAGGGATCTCGAAATAAATCGGCTGTGTGTTCTTGCCCTTACCTTTCTTGTCATGTCCTACTTCATACAGCATCACTGTATTAGTTCTTTCTTATCGATGTAATAGACTACCCCAACACAGGACTACTGAAATGGCTCTGCAGAAGACCCACAGCAGGCAACTCACAACTGCCTACAACTCCAGCTTCATGGGATCTTCTATGGGCACCAGGCATGCCAGTGATATATGTACTTACATGTAAGCAAATACAAATACACATAAAATAAAAAATAAATAAACCCCAAAAATAAAAATACCCTGATAAAAACAACTCAAAGAATAGTTTGCTTTGGCTTACAGTTCCAAAGGTGATAGAGTCAATCATCGTAGACAATGAGTGTGAGGCCAGCCTAACCATCAAGAAATGATCACACACTTTATCCATACATGGGAAGCAAAGAGAGAGAACAGGATGTAGGACCAGGCTCTATGATCTGAATCCCAATGACACACTTCCTACAGGAAAGTTTCACCTCCTAAAGGTTCTGTAACCTTCCCAAAGAGTACCACCAACTAGGGGCTGACTACTCAAATGTGTGAGCCTGTAGGAAACATTTCACATTCAAACCAAAATAACCACTCATGAGTATGATGTTATCTTTTCTAAGTACAATGACTGAAGAACATTCATAGATAACCAACACCAGTAATTCCTCCAAATTTGCTTTTCCAAACTACTGAGATCACTCCATACCACAGTACTGTGCATTTGGCTGCCTTGCTTTCAGAATTACAGATGCTGTTCCAGTCTCCATGGGATTTATAAGTATTAAGAATGATTTAACACTACCAATGAACCTCGTGGTCCGTCAAATAGTGACTTGGAAAATATAAAATATTTTCGTAACTCCAGAATTTTTTTTTTTTTTGCTTTTCAACTAAAACTATACATCTTAAGCTAATGAAAATTTGTAACTATTGTATGAACTGTCATAAAACTTAATACTTTTAAATATTTTATAAACACAATGGCCTCCCAAGTAATTTCTTGTGTGTGTGTGTGTGTGTGTGTGTGTGTGTGTGTGTGTGTGTGTGTGTGTGTATTTTTCCAACAGAGGGTTTCTCTGTGTAACAATCCTGGCTGTCCTGGTATCTGCTTTTTAGACCAGGCTAGCCTCAGAGATCCACTGTCTCTGCCTCCCGAACGCTGGGATTAAAGGCATGAACCACCACTGCTGGCCCAAGTAGTTGCTTTAGTCCTTATGCCTCTTGTATTTCTCACTCCTTTCTATGGCCTTGAATTCAGAGTTCTCAAGAGGTAGGTTACAGGATATTTATTTTTTCTCATTCTGTTTTTCTATATTATCCAAGTTTTTTCACAATTCACAAATGGAAGATGTTAATTTTTTTAAAGACATCTGGTCCACAAAAATGAGAACTAGATTTTATATAAACAGAAGTTTTCATTCAGAACAACATTGTATCTATTTGATTCATTTTGACAACAATTCAGTTAAGAGAAAGCATGCATGATCAGGTAAGTGACCGAGTTTACTGGTCAGGTCACAGTAATTAGAGATGTTACCTTTAATATTATTTAATTAGTTAAAAACTGACTAAAATTTAATTTCATTTTAAAAGTTGATAATATCAAGAGTGATGATGGGTAACGATAAATATGTGTCCCATATCACAAGCAGATACATCTTCATAAGATGTATAAGATAAATAAGATAAATCCCAGGACCCTAAAGGCTTGCCAGATCATGAGGGGGTTAGCAGCCCAATTTCTCAACCTCATGCCATCTCTGAACAGATTAGGAACCACTTCAAACTGAATCTCCCATTTGTGTGCCGAGGAGGACTCCAGCCTGCAGAGCAGGCAGCGTATGGGACGTGACTGCTTTCCCTTTCATGATTGATCTCTTCTTTTGCTTGCTCGAAAATACATTAGTCATTTCTGCCAACAAAAGCATCCTTCCAGCAACAGATGTTATGGCATAAAGAGAGACTTGTACATGCTGGTATAAATAACAAAGGTGTTAGCTGGAATTAAAAGTAGACATTTCATATATATATATATATATATATATATATATATATATGTCTTCCGTGATTATTGAGTGAGTGTAAAAATCCGCTATAAATAAATTTTACATAAACAACATGTTTAAGGAACACTGGAAAGTTTGACTAGGAAAGAAAATTTATCTTCAAATTGATGACTATTTTGTTCACCCTAAACAGAGTTTACATGACTGCTATACATAAACATACTCTAAGATATTCATTAATCACCGGCTTTGAACTAAATCCCCACTTGAAGAGAGCACATGTGCTTCTGGGTGCGATTTTTTATAAACACCAAGATGCCTTAACCCCTTCACACACTAGGGAGTCAGTGACTGCCCCTCAAATCACCTCCCAGATGGAGACATCATGAGGCTGTTGGTCAAAGCAGCAGCGGCCTGGAGACTGCACAAGGTGAGTGTGTAAGCCAGCCAATGCCAGGTCACGCTGCTGTGTCCTATACGTCTCCTCCCACCCACTGGCTATCAGTTCTTCGTTGATACTTTTGAAGGGTTCTAGGAAAGCAGCATTGACAACTGTGACAGACCATGAATTGTAGATTAATGAGCCTCCTATCCATCCATGGCACAGCCTTGGAGGGCAGAGCCTCTAGAAACTGGATGGAGAAACGTGATTCCCTGGCAACGGAAGTCCCTTCTCTTATGTATTTATTTGAAGCTCTTGGGAGGTATATCTGAGTCTGGTGCTAAGAACAAGCAAGCAAGCAAGCACCCACCCTGCACAGAGCATGGTTCAAAGCCTAGGACTTTCTCAGATGTAGATGACCCTGCATCATCAACATGTGTGTCTGCACTCTGGGTTCCTCTCCTGTGAACAGGGATCTACCTACTCTGTGTGACTGTTAAGAATAGTTGGTACATTAATATTTGTGGAAGACTTGGAAATATATCACAGGGATTTATTTGGGGAAATCTAACTAGAAGATGCCTGCATGGAATGAGGAGCACTTCCATGCATGTTCCTTAGTTTTGTAGCCTGAACAAACACATGAGCATAGGGTTTTTAACCCCATTTGATAGATAAGGAATCTGAGGCTTATGAGGTTAACCACCCTGCCAACCAAAAGTTCTGTAATAGGCCCACAATTGTCTGTGGCTGACGGAAAGTGTTCCAAGCCCTCGTTAAATCAAGCTTGATTAATGGTGAGAGGATCAACTGCCAAGCTACTAATTAAAATATTCACCAGGGTAATTGTACACTTGGATCCCATGTTGCTCCAAGATGTATTTGGAGAAGCTGATAGAAAAAAAACAACAAAAAACAAACAAACAAACAAATTTTTTAAACCTGTAAATAGATGAAGAAAAAAGATTATACTTTTAAGGTGTCACATGCTAAAACTAACCAATAGTTTTTCATATTTGCAGGCTATCACCACTTTGAGTTCTCATATTATTAAAGGTGTCCTATTAATAGAGAAATGTATCCATCAAAAATTTTCATAAATGCCAAAAGTACCAAAGACACAATGCCCACCTCAGAGTTCCTGACCACCCTTGGCTATGAACTTGCTTGGACTCTTATCTCATTATCCAGGAAGAGAAGAAAGACTTACAAAGAAATGCCTTTGGTTAAATTATTTTAATTGTGGGGATAAGACAAGTCTTCTCAAAGCTTGCTCTGCGAACATGCACACGTCTGTAGGGAAGGTGTGCCAAGAGTGAGACACCAGAAACATTCATGCCTGGAACACAGCCACTAGCTGAGCTAACAGCAAGGCAGCATGTCCTGGAGCAACCAGTACCTCATCAGACAATGCCACCACTGCTTTCTGACCAGTGTATCTCAGAGTCAGGTTGTGTGAACGTGAGGAAAGTAGCAGTTCCTTGCTCCTCATCTTTGGAGGCTTGGCAATCCAACATCGCCTGCTGTCTGGAAGTAATTCAGTAAATTCTTGAATTAGTAGAATAAATGAAGATTGGCAGGCTAGGTAGATGAATGCAAAGATGGATGGGGGCCATACAGATCATAGACTAGTTTAATATAAAGCACTGTTCATATTTAAATGTCTGCATTAACGCCTTAAAATATAATGCAAAACAAAAAATGAGCAGAAATACATTTCAGTATAGCCTATACAGTAGAGGCAAGAATGAACTATAGAAATGGATTTCTCTATCTCAATGTTTTGAACACAGTGTCAAATTGGAGGGGGGAGAAGGAACAATAAATAGATTGTACATACTTATGGTTTGGATATGAAGTATCTGCCAAAAGGTTCGTGTATTGGAGATTTATTTCCTGATTCAGATGGTGTACAGAGACTGTGAGTTTGGGAAGTGCTTAGAGAGAGAGGGTTGTCACTTTATGAATGGGTTGATTCACTCCTGGATAACCATTGTGGACAGACTACTGACAGGTGGCTGAGGTCTAAAAGGTGGGCTCCGGTGAGTGGTAGCTGGTCACTGGGAGTGTGCCTTCGGGGTATATCTTGCGTCCAGCCCCTTCTCTGTCACCTTTCTCCGTATATTGGCTGCCATGTTATAAACAAAATCTTCTGTCCTTTCTCATCTCTGCCATGGCATTAAGCCTCACTAGGGGCCATCATAACAGTGACAGCTGACCATGGCAGGAACTCAGGCTTCATCCAGCCTCAATTCAACCCCAACTCTCCTGACCAATAAGCTTTGCGTTGTGTTTAAGCCTGTCTTTCAAAAATATATAAAGAATATAACTTTTAAACTTTCAAAGGTGCTCTTTGTCTTATCAACTCAGAAGAGGCCCACCAGTCTCTCATGCTTTGCGGTTTCCTTCCCTTTTCTAATTTCACGTCTGTACACCTTTTTGTTGGTGTTGTTTTGCTTTATTAGCTGCTTTAGGATATAATGATATCAAAACTCTTCACTTTAGGAACAGTTGAGGACTTTGTGACCTATTCTGAAAAAGTAGAAATTATGGAAGAATGAAATCCAATTCCAGTTCACCTGGCCTACCTTCACTATTTTGGTGACACCACAGAATGCTATCCCTTTCCTGGAGGTGGCATCCAGCAGACCTAGCCACAGATACCCATTGAGGGAGGTATGCTAGTTGGATTTTGTCAATTTGACACAGATTTAGACATATCAATTGAGAAAATGCCTCCTTCAGATTGCCTGCAGGCTGGTGTATGGGGAGTTTTCTTGACTGACGATTCATAATTAATATGGTTGGCACCAGCCCACCACGTCACCCCTGGGCAAGTGGATCTGGAGTGTGTAAGAAAGAAAACTGGGCGAGCCAGAAGAAGCAAAGCAGTAGATAGTGTTCCCTCATGGTCTCGGCTTAAGTTCTTGCCTCTGGGTCCTGTCTGACTTGAGTTCCTGGCCTGACTTCCCTCAGTGATGGGCTGTTATCTGGAAGCATCAGCTGAAATAAACCCTTTCCTCCCAAGTTGTTTTGGCCATTGTCATAGCAATAGAAATCTAATTAAGACAGGGCAGCCTCTGCCTTGGGTTGAACTTTACCTCCTGAAATTTCTCCGACTCATCAATTCTAGTAAAACTGGTCATGCCTCAGTGGGGACAGCTGTGTCACAGAGTCCTCACCACTGTCTCATTGTCCTGTTTTTCCTGCCTTTTATATCCCATGTCTCCCATAGACTCATGTGACTGGACAATTGGTTCCAGCTATGGACACTGTTTTGAAAGCTATAAAAGGTTTGGGAAGTGGAGCCTCGCCATAGAGAGTGAGTCGCTGAGGGTAGGGTTGGGACTTACATCCCCAGTGCCTGCTTGTGTCCCTGCAGGTGCAGACAGCACAGGTACAAGTGTGTGTGTGTGTGTGTGTGTGTGTGTGTGTGTGTGTGTGTGTGTGTGTCCACGTGCCCAGTAGCTTCGTGCCCCTACTGCTGCACCTTCCCCATCACTAATGGACTCCATCCCTCCTTAAACTCAAAGCCAAAGGAAGCTCCCCTTTCTTAAGTTGTCCAGTGTTTTGTCACAGCAATAACAACTGATATAAATACACACACATGTACACACACACACAAAGTAATAACACTTGATGATGATTATTTTTGGAGGGAAAAGTTTTGTTTTAGCTAAAGTATATTGAATAGTCATATCCTGGTATAACATTCTAAAATTTAAGAGTATCGTAGCACAGCCGTGGGCTTGCCATGAAGAACTCTGCTCCATTAACAGGAACGTGAGTGTTGATGGAGCCTGATGGACTTATCAGTGGTTCTAAACTTGGCTGCATAGTCTCATTCTTCTACAGACATGAAGGCAGGAAGGGTGGGGCCCTGTGGGCTCAGCGGTGAAAATAAATGTGCTATCCAATGCAAGATTTTGACTGTGAGGAGGAGGCTACCTGGCTAAATCCTCAGCACCTTCTGCTCACTGTTGCTGTGAATGTAAACTGTCCTTAACAAGGATGATTAAAGAAAAAATGACTAGGTTGGGGAGATGGCTTTGTGAATAAGAATACTTATACTGTAAGCATGGGGACCTGGGTTCCACATCCCAGCATCCACCTAAGATGTCTGCCTATAATCCCAGCATGGCGTTGGAGAAATGGGTGGGTACCAATAGCTCCCTGGACAGTCAGCCTTGCCAAAATGATATGCTACCAGTTCAGTAAGAGGTGATATCTCAAGAAAATAAGGAGAAACTGAGGAAGACAGATGTAGGGGTGGTTGTCTGTGCTTTACCCTGAAGCATTACCCCTAGGGAGGCAGCAGGTACTGAGCAGTACTTAACTGCTCAGTACCTGCTGCCTCCAGACACTTGCTATCCTGCTCTGGCCTCTGAATTCACATGCCCTACACACACACACACACACACACACACACACACACACACACACACACACAGAGAGAGAGAGACAGAGACAGAGACAGAGACAGAGACAGAGACAGAGAGAGAAGAGAGACAGAGAGAAAGAGAGAGAGAGAGAGAGAGAGAGAGAGAGAGAGAGAGAGAGAGA